TGTAAAGCTTTATTTTGTATGCTTTTATTTAGTATTTTATCTAACGGGTTTTCACTCGTTATTTTCTTAAGAGCTTTTTGGCAATCTTCAAGAGATAGTTTATAAATCGTTTCGTGTTGTGAAAGTAAAGTTTTCATAATAAATTTACATTGCATTATTTTGAAAAAGATTCTTTCTAGATCTTTTGTTTCCTCATTATATGCAATATTTTTCTTTGGATTTTTTATAACCTCACCACGTTTTCGTAGTTTGGCGTTATGTTCCATAAATTTTTCGGATGCAAAGCTATAAGCTTTACTGACAATACTAATATGTACTGCTGTACCATTAAGATGGAGCAAGACATAATCAAGTTCTTGAACAAACGGTCTGTATAATTTCAAAAAATTGTTTCCTATCAATAAATCAACTCCAGTATCTTGTTGATATATTGTAGGAACATGAAACTGTTCACCGGCAATGTGAAAAGTTACATTATAGGCTACTTTTGAGAGGGTAATAACCTCTTTATTGGCAACTTGTGCTGTAATCTTTTGTTTAGCAGTTTCCCACTTTTCTTTGGGTAATACTAGCTGATTTGCAGCGCAAATACTTGCTCCAGTATCAATATACCCATGAAGGTGATATTGTTTATATCCAGGAAATTTAAATCCAACTTTTATATATGTACTATTTGGATTGGTTATATTTGACAATCGTTCCATTCATCAGAACTTTCATCACTACAACTTTCCCATTCTGAATTTGGTTTTGTACTAAACCTTTTAAATTCTAATTCAAATTTTAATTCATATTCTGAGCTATTTGAATCATTTTCTGACTCAATTGGTTCAAAACTGTATTTTTGCATTGCATAAAGCATTTTTACTTTATCTTTTTGTTCATTTCTTTTTGGACATTCGTTAGCATAATGTCCTTCTTCTTGACATAACCAACACCTACAATTAGTTTTGCCCTTAGGGCAATACTTATTGTTTTTCTTTCCAAACCTTTTTCTATATTTTGGTTTATTAGTATTATTATAACTATCTTTTTTATATTTTCTATACTTGGGAATGTATCTCTTATATTTTTTAAATTTTTGCTTGTTTTGTTTGCGATAAATCTTTTCTTTCTTTGTTCTACATCCCCATTTATTTGGGATTTCTAAAAGTTGTGGATCACAACAAGGTTTATTTTGGTAGTATAAAAGAGTTCCTCTTAATTGGGTGTCTTTGCATCTATCTTCTATTGTTTCTTTTAGAAGATTAACTCTTCCTGCAAAGCCATCGGTAATATGGTCAGATTTATTAGACCATTTTTTATTCATTTCAAAAGCCCACAAAGGTGGTAGTTTATTAAAATATTTTTCAGCATAAGCTGGTCTATCTTCTTGTCTTAACACGTAGTACCATTTTTCATACTCACATGTATAATTTTTCCAATAACAGATATCACATATCTGAATATTATCTAAAATGAACTTTGCCTTTTTATGTCTTTCTTCTAAGACAGCGTTTGTATTATCTAGTTCTCTTACTCCTACAAATTCATTAATTAGTAATTTAGCAAGAGCATTTAGATATTCTATGTTATCTTCTGGTTTATTCCAATGAGCATCAAGGCTAGGAACATATGGATTTGAGTCCCACCAATTTTTAACATTTCCTTTCATATGAAGTTCTAAGTATGTTCTCAGTGTTCTTAGGTCTTCAAATGCTTCTTTATTAGTTTGTATTACTACTAACATGTAGTTGTACCAACTTTTTATTTTTTCAACCGGTTTTGCTAAACAGTCTAAGTCAAGAATGTTGTCGTTATTATTTTTCGAGTCATCTCTTGGAATAAACTCTTTTGGAATAAAATTCTTTGATTTTTTCTTATAAGTTTTAGTTTTGCTTCTATTCATATTCATCATTCCTGGGAAGTTTACTTCTGGGAATGTTTCATATGTTTTATCTTCGTCTGATACTCCAAAATACCTATCAGCATTTGGATTGTAAAATTCATCATTTCTACATTCTTCAGGAGTCATGAATTCATGGGTATCACAATAATTACTTGGTCCTGGAGGAATATCCTTCAGGTCTTCTTCAATCTTTACATTTAAGCGATTTTTAGGTTCTGAACTATCACTTTCTGTACAAGATTCACTATAATTACCTATGAATTCTTTCAAAGATAATATATTCTGATATTTATCTATTAAAGATTGAACATCAGTTTCATTTTGACTCAATTCTGAATCAGAACTCATTTTTTCTCTTCTAGTCTTTTATATTTGTCCTTTTCAAATAAATCTTTAAGATTCCATTCATTGGGGGGTCTATAAGTAGGTATAGACTTCTTTTCTTTAAAGACTTTTATAAGTTTTTCTATTTCTATTGTTTTTGTGTCTTGGTTACTAGAATCAGACTGATGTATTGTTTGTTCTATTTTTAGAACGATTTCTTTTATTTCACTAACTATTGTTAGAATTTGTTGTACATTTCCTATTTCCGGATTTTTAGACATTTATTCCTAACTCATTTCCAATTTGATTTACAAGTTGGATTACTTTATTTAGTTTTTCTATTAGTGGGTCAATTTTTGGAATTTTCCCATCTAATTTTGTTAGAGTTTCTTCTAATCTGTTTATGTTTATCTTATTAATATTTTCTATGATTTTATCAGCTTTTGCTGCAATATCAAGAATTTCTGAAAGTAAAGTATCAAGAAATTCAATATTTCTACTTGTTTTTTCGAGTCTTTCAAGAATTAGACCTTGATTTTCTCGAATTTTTTCAATATTTTCCCAGAGGGGAGTGTTTTTCATTTTTTAATGCTTTTTAAGTGAGTTGGTACCGTTATGAGTAATACTGGTACATTTTCTTTAAAGGAGTGGTACAAAGATAAAATTCTGTTTTATCTAATTGGTATAAGGGTAAAAATGTATTTTTCCCTTATGAGGGGACCAATTCTTTTGTCTGTAGGGAGTGGAAAGGAAGAAAATTTTGTTAGGGATTGAAGAGGAAAGTGAAAGTAGGTTTGGGGATTTAAAAGGAATTAGCCGTTATTTAAATACAAAAAACTTATAAAATAATAAAATAAGTTATAAATTAATTTATATGTTTACCAAACGCAACATAATTGTTTATCTAAGTGAAGATTGATCGATCCAAATCCATCAACGAAATATCAGACTTCGTGGTCTTTTTGTTTTCCCCCTTCTCGTTTCATTCAGAATGAAACAAAATAAAATCAAATCAAATATATAATTACGAGTTCTGTACTCTTGTTTTCCAGCTTTTCTTCTATTTCCCTTTAAAATTGAAATGGCGCGAGTTCCAAGTTTAACCCGACAAAATAAACCAGAGATGTTCAGACACTATCTACCCCAAAACTTCACATTCTTGAGAAAATCCCGCGCTCGACCCGCATACAATCCCAACCCGACCCAAGAAAATGTTTCGGGCCCATACTCACTCGCACACCAAATGTTCGACGAATTGCCCGAACGAAACGTGAAATCAGCAACAGCTCTAATCGGCCGCTTCGCCAAACACGGCCTCCACCGGGAAGCCTTCACTTGCTTCCTGAGAATGCTCTCTTTAGACATCAGACCCAATGAGTACACCTTCGGCACATTAGTTCATTCGGCCGTCACCCTTAAAGACATCCGGTTAGGCAAACAAATTCACTGCATCTCGAAAAAAATCGGCCTCGACTCAAACGTGTTTGCGGGCAGCGCAATTCTCGATCTTTACGCCAAGCTAGGAGGTCTAAACGAGGCCACGAGGGCATTTACGGAAATAAACGTGCCGAATGTAGTCTCTTACTCGACTTTGATACGCGCGTACGTGAGAGAAGGTAGATTTGACAAAGCCCGTCTCGTTTTCCGGTCGATGCCCGAGAAGAACGTGGTCTCTTGGAACACGATGATTAGCGGTTGCAGCCAGTCGGGAGAAAACGAGGAGGCCGTGAATTTTTTCGTCGAGATGCTTAGAGAAGGTTGTGTTCCGAGCGACCACACTTATCCTAGCGCGATTATCTCGGCCGCGAATATCGGGGCCTTAGGCATGGGGAAAAGCATCCATGCTTGCGCGTTGAAATTCTCGGGCGACAACCTAAGCTTGTTTCTAGCGAACTCGTTAATAAGCTTCTACGCGAAATGCGGAAGCATGGAGGATAGCCTTTTAGTGTTCGAAAAAACCCGCGAGAAGAATATCGTATCTTGGAATGCTATCATTTGCGGGTACGCGCAGAATGGTCGGGGAAATATTGTGATTCAAACTTATCGGAAAATGAAGCAATCGGGCTTCGAGCCCAATAGCGTCACGCTTCTCGGGTTATTATGGGCTTGCAATCACGCGGGCCTAGTCGACGATGGGTACGAGTATTTTAACGAGGCAAGAGAACAGAATCCGAGCATCGTGCAAGCAGAACACTACGCGTGCATGATCGACTTATTGTCTCGTTCGGGGAGGTTTTTAGAGGCCAAGGAGTTTATAAAACACTTGCCTTTTGACCCGGGTGTCGGGTTTTGGAAGGCATTGCTTGGTGGGTGTCGGGTCCACTCAAATTTGGAATTGGGGGAAGTTGCGGTTGGGAAGATACTCGAGTTGGATCCAAAGGACGTGTCGTCTTATGTGATGCTATCAAATGCTCATTCTGCGGCCGGGAAGTGGGGCAATGCGCTAAGTGTGAGGCAGAGGATGAGGGAGAAAGGTCTCGATAGGGTTCCCGGTTGCAGTTGGATTGAAGTTCGGAGCACGATTCATGTGTTTGTTAAGGATGATAAGAGGCATGACGAGAAGAACGAAATTTATAGGGCTTTGGGGTTTTTTGTCGAACACATTAGGGACGGTCGAGATAAGAATGTTGTTGTAATGGAATCTTGAAATCTCATATTATTAATCCAACTGATTTTTGGAGATGAATTCTGAAACTTTTTTGGGATTCTATTGATCTGTTATTGTTTCAGTATAAGAGAAGTTGGTATGTGGTAAAGAAGTAAGAAGAAGAAAATTACATAAAAACCACTAAGATAAACCATGTAACTATGAAGATCAGAAGGCAATGCATTAAAACTCTTTGCGATGGCTTGGGCAATAAATAAACACAATCTGAAGCTTCAATATCTAAATTCAACAAAAAGTTGTTCAACATTTGAGTACCAAAATTAAAGTTGTCTAGTTCAAAATCCACTGGAAAGGAAAAATAACATCACATAAAAACTGAAGGATCCAAATCACTTAGATAATTCCAATTTTGTTGGCGACGTCCAAAGCATCATAGTCGGGTGTCAACCTAACATACGCCTTCTTAGTCCCATCAGGCCTGAATCAAGGAAAATATAAATCAAGATAAGCAAAATCTAAAAAGACCGAGAAATAAACATCACACTACAGGATTCAATTCGACAAATGCATGTTATAGTCTCATATAAACCATAACATAATTTAGTATTTTGCCTAGCAATAAAAATGCAAGGGGAAAAATAAATAAGATATGTTTTTTGTTCAAGCACAGGAAGGTAGATAATGAAACGTTGAAATAGTCATAAGTCATCACTCCAGGATTCATCTTGCGGATCAATTGGACAAATGCATGTTAGTCTCATATAAACCATATCATCATTTACTATTTCACCTAGCANAAACAAAAAAAAAAAAAAAAACAAAAAAAAATTCTTACAGCACATCCATATGATACTGAAAGACAATTTTTTATACACTAACTGAAAAGGGATGAAATCCCAGCTTACCTGATAAGGGTGTTAACTTTCTTGGTCTGGATTTCATACATCTTCTTAACGGCATCCTTGATCTTCTTCTTATCAGCTCGGATATCGACAATGAAAACCAGAGTGTTGTTATCTTCGATTTTTTTCATGGCCGATTCTGTGGTCAGAGGGTATTTCAAGATCTGGTACTGGTCGAGCTTCTGGCGCGGAGGGGCACTAATGCGTGGATACTTAGGATTCCTCTCCTTCTTCAATGTCCTCGGCCGGTGAAAAGTGACCTTTGTCCTTATTTTCTTGGACTTCTTCTTGAAGGTTGTTGAACCTGCTTTCACAGCTTTGGCAGTCTTCAAGGCCTTGGCCTTGGGGTCAGCCTTTTTTGCTGGGTCAACTGCAGAAAATAGAAGAAGACTGAATTGGAAATGGTAACTCATAAAGTTTAAACAAAGCTATCAAGAAACTCTTAGAACATGCTCAGAACAATTTATTTATTATTAATGCAATGTATGAATAGCTATGAAACTAGGGAGCTATACATCAAACTATAAACGAATAAACGACATCTAAACAAATGAATAGTAGAACTCTTGCACCCCACAAGACTGGGAGCCAATAACACCATCACATTTCATTCTAGGAACATGTTTAAATAATCATAGGACCAAATCTCGCACCCCACAAGCCTAGAGGTCAATAAACGCAACACAATTCATTCTAGGAACATGTTTAAATAATCACAGACAAGTACCATAAACAATTCGAAAGTTTCAATCTTTTGAGTTCAACAGAATATAAGTAACTTTTTCCCACATATTATTACCGCCAATAAGTTTAAAGCAATGCACCTAAGCTAAATGATTCTAGAGACCCACATTCAGCTCCCATATCCATGGAGATACATTCTGGTTGTCAGTTTAAGGTACTAAAATTCATACACCAATAGCAACATAGAAAAACATAGCTAACGCCGTTCAATGATCAAACCAACACCTAGTAAATGTAACCATTTAACATACAAAAAACATGTAAGGCGCTTAGCAGTGGACAGTTCTTATTAACAACTTTTCACCATAACCTTACAGATTGTGGCTGCGCAGAAAATACAAACTAAAGATTAACCATCTATACTACAATTGCGACAAAAAATTAACGAACCCTAAATCTACTCGCACAAAAAATCCGTACCTTTAGCTGGAGCCATTTCCAACGGATGCGACCCTAAATGCAGACTGTCTTACCTGAAAAACCCACAAAATTAGCTAAATCTGTTTGTTATATAGAGCTTGCTAATGGATTTCTACAGATATAAATGGATGAAGAAAATTGTCAGATTGAAGCAAAGAGGAAGCTAACCTTTGGAGGGGACTGCCGTTCTAGCCTCTAGGGTTTTGGATGTGAGAAGATGATGAATTTTATACTTGAGAGAAGTCACGGACTTGTCACGTGCCTTGCCCATGTAGTGTTCCTCTCTTTTTTTTTTTTCCCATTTTATCTACCCGTGCGATGCACGGGGTATACTATAAATTATTATTTTATCATTCAGATGTTAAATTATTTAAAATAATATTCTAATTTTATTCGACACAATATATCAAGTCTGTAATAATATAATATTTATTTAACTATTTTTTAATATTTTAATTATGTTTGTAGGTCTAAACTATTTATTATATAGATTTTACTAGGGCTGGCATTTTTTAACTGAAAATCAAAAACCGAACTGACGAGAAAGTAAATTGAACCGTACCGAATCTTTTGTAACGGTAACCGACTATCGGTTACTGAATCACTATCGATACGGTATCAGTTTGAACCCATAAGAGTTCGGTAAAACCGATACCGAACCGATAAGGGTAAAAATAAATAAAACAAAGATTTTTTTTAAATATTAAAACAACGATTAGTTGTTTAGTGTTCAAAAATTGAAATAAGGGCTCAATCCAACCTAAATCTCAAAATGACGAAAAAAATGTCATTACTCATCGCCTCAACCACATTCTAATCGGAACATTGTTGATTTACCAGTTTCACTTCTTCTAAAGAAGATGCATGCTACCGTTACTGTAGTTTATTCTCGTACCACCGTTACTATATAAGTTAGTTGAAGTTGTATCACAAATTTTATTTATTGCATGTTAGCAATATATTGTTTTATTAGTTGCGTTTACCACAAAAACCATAATCTAATAATATATAAACTAACTTCAATATTAAATTTAAGTTTTTTAATCCTTCAATGGATTTGTGAGTCTTTTGTGTGTATTTAATTAATAAAAAATGAAAAAAATTACAAAAATTACGAGAAAAGTAAACACTAGCGATTTTTTTTTTTTGCTCAAAATCGGTTCGGTTTTTTGGGTATAACATCGATACCGAACCGAAACCGAACCGATTTTTCGGTTACCGAATTTTTGGTAACCGGCTTTAATTGGTTCGGTATCGGTTTTGCATTCCGAGATTACCGACATTATCGGTACGGTATCGGTATACGCTTATCGGTTCGGTAACCGAACCGATATCACCCCTAGATTTTACTATTTATAAGTTTATAAAATATTTTAAAAATCTAAGATTTTAAATACGATGTTTGTTTGCAAATAACTTACATGTACTTATAAAAATTTCGATTATATTGATCTTATAACTTTTTTTAATAATTCATATTTTGCATATTGCTTGATAACTAACTGATGTTAACCCATAAAATTTATATTTTTTTTGTATTATAATACTAGATGCATGAAATATTAATTGTTTGATACTAAGTTTAAAATTGTAGTTATTTTGATCACTTATGCAACGAAATTCATAATAAACTACTTTTTTTTTTTTAATTTTTTCTCTATAGTTATCTCTCTAATTCATTTGTTTAAAATATATAATGAGTGTATTAGTATCCAATCTAAATATTTAGATAGATTATATATTTCAATTTTTATCAAATGCTTTAATTATGATATTTGACTATATTATCTTATTTACTCATTTTCCTTTATTATATAGTATATAATAAAAATTACTATTTTTATTTTTACAATTTGAATCATTTTTCGAGGTATGTAGATATTTTTATTGTGAACTTATAATTCTTATTTTTACGTGACCATCAAATAATAAATTATTTTCTCAATAGTAGTCCCAATACAAATGGTATATTTGATAGAGATATACTTTTTTTATGGTTAAGTTGATTACATTTTAAATTTTTTTATTAATGCTATAAATTATTCATTAAGTTAATATGTTAACAAAAATATTTTGGTTATTTGTTATATATATTAAGTGCTTCTGAGGTGAACATAATTAATAAAATTATATCTACAACGATGGGATAATAATATAATTAATCAAATTAATTTCATAATTTAAATAAATAATTTTTTTAATTGTGTCAACAAATTAAACGAAATTAAAAGTATGACCTTATTAAAAATTTATATCAATTTACGACTACTGAATAATAGCCATTGAGTAAGAAAAAAATATTAATATTCATATATAAAATTTGTTAAAGATAAAGGTTAATTATATGCTAAATATAGATGAAAATTTTCCCGCCCAAAAATATGTCAATTATAGTAACAAAGATTGGTCTATTATATAGACTAGTATGAGTCCCGTACAGTGCACGGGTAGATACTCATTAATATTTATAACTTAAAAATTCTTATTAAGTAATATTTATAAATTAAAAATATAAAATCAATATGTAATATAATTACCTATACTAATTTATTGGAACTGTTATATAAAGTTTAAATTGTATAAAATTACATAAAAAATGTCTATTTAAAGTTAGTACACAACTCGTGTGGTGCACATAACTGATAATAAATTACATTATATTCGTTTCAAAATAAGTATCATTCCAAATTTTTTATTCAGAAACTCGATTTCACTATAATGTGATTTCATAAAATAGTTATTTTGGTTAAATGTTATCATATATTTAACACCCTATGTGAATAATAAGTATAAATATAAACCTTATATTGTTTCATTACTTAAAATAACTTATTTTTGTATAAACTATTCAAATAAAAAAGATTAAGTAGTTGAGTAATTATTAAACTATAAATAATTGACTATTTCGTTTACATTCCAAGTTAATATTGACCTGTAAGTTATTGAGTAATTTATTAAATTATAAATAATTGACTATTTCGTTTACGTCCAAGTTAATATTGACTCGTAAGTTATGAATAATTATTTTTTTATTTTTAATTTTAAATAAGAATCTTATTATTTTTTTAATATATTATATACCAAATTTAAACCATGCAACTAATAAAAGTAATAGCTGCAAGTTTTATTTATATTCCAAATTTAAATCATGCAACTAATAAAGGTAATAGCCGCAATATTTGACCAAAATGATTCTGTACATTAATTTAGGCGGAATTTTTAAAATTTTGGCAAAAAATACTTTAGGCGGGAAATTTATTATTTTTTTGTTGATTTTTAGTTGTTATTTCAAGTAAATATCATTGCTTCTTTATATATTAATAGATATAGATATAGATTTTTCTCACTTTAATTTGTTTTGGTTTTTTATTTCCAATGTTTATGTCAATTATTAATGATGCTTTATAGCTTATGTAAATGAAAATTTTCTATTTATTGGGACTTTTAAAAGTTTTGAAATAATTGGATAATTTAATTTTTAAAATATTTAGAAATTTAATAATGTTTTTTCGAAATTTTGTTCGCAACCCATACATGCAATTGACCATGTTATTAAAGATTTTAAATTTGATATTTATATTGCATATATAAAATAAAAAATATAAACATTATTATTACATGTTCAAACAGATTTATCTTTTGTAGCATAGTACAGAGATTTAGATCAATATATATATATATATATATATATATATATACTAACAAGTCGTAGGGGTGACAAGTGACATTCCAAATAAAAAAATACTGCAAATTTTCAAAAAAATATTTTAAAAATTTAAAATAAAAAAACTTTTATTTTATTTAATTATAATTTCATGAATATAAAATTCTGAACACCTATTAATGAACACTACTAGAAACATTTTAAAACCAGTGATAGAATCGGTGAAACTAGTTGTTTAAAACAACTTCTCAGGCGCAAGCATTTACGTTTCATATTTATATATTAAGAATAATTTATATTTATATTAAGAATAATTAAATTGTATTTATATTAAGAATAATATATAATTTTATAATATAAATATTTATTTTTTTCATATTATGTAAAATATAGCATGAATAATTGAAAACGACACTGTGAAATGATGTGTCTAATTAAATTATGTTGATACCTAATTTTGGTCTTGCTTAGTAAAATATTACACGTGGATATGTATTACATCAATTATTTTAATTTTGGGCCCAAAAATTTTACCACTTGTGATAATATTGGGCCCATTAAACATATATATAAATACCCCGATGATGGACAATTGGACATCATCGAGATAAGTCTGAGGAGTTGGTTTTCATATTTTCCTTATCTTAAAAGGATCGAGGCGGTGCCTGGAGGGATTTCATCTCCTTCCTCTTGCTTCTCCTTCTATTTTCCATCAGAAAATTCATCATAAATCACCGAAAAATACATATCGAAAAATACACGATAAATCTCTCTAAAACCCCCATGTTGATCAAATTTCGAGCATCAACAAATTATATGTTATATATATCAAGAATAATTTAGAATAATGAGAATATAGATACTGTGTAAAATATAGCACGAAGGAACTGACAAAATTGTAAAAAAAAATATATTTAACTAAATTATACTTTATATTAAGAATAATTTAGAATAATGAAAATACAAGTACAATATTTATATTGTGTAAAATGTAATGCGAGCGATCAAATATGAAACTTTGAGTGATTGGATATAAGATTTTTTCAAGGTGATGAAGGGTGATGTTTTTGTAGAACAATGGAGATAAATTTGAAACTATAAATAATTATTAGCACTGTCAAAATGGGTCATGGTCCACGGGTTGCCCGTCCGTCGGCGTGAATGGACGGGCTTGGGTCTTTGCTTGGCCAGCCTGTTCAATCGCGGGCCTATTTGGCTCGCCCCGTTCGGCCCGTGGTCCAGCCTGTTTTTTATTATTTATTTATTTTTTAATTTTATATTATTTAAATTTAGTATTTCTTATTTAATTTTACTATTGATGGATTTATTTATTTTGTTGGATTTTGTTTTTATCGTCTTTTTTTTTTCTTCTTCTTCTTCCATATTTATTTATTTTATATTTTTTAAAGTTTGACAATGATATTAAGATTTGTGAATGCACATGAAACACTTTTTTACATAATAAAATTATTAATAAATCGAATAATATTATATGTGAATTAAGTCTCTCCTCCGCGTGAATACCCTATAACTATTAATAAAAAAAATAAAAATAAAAACTGGATGACAAATATTTAACATCATTACACATAAAGTCTTATTAGTTTATTAATATACTAATAAATATAAGGATAAACAAACCAAAAAGTATATAAGAGTGCATAATACTAAAAAACCCGCGGGCGAGCCGATTTGGCCAGCGGGCTAATGAGAGCGGGCCACGGGCCATAGATTTCGCATCCTGTAGAAATGCGGGCCATTTTGGCCCGCCCCACTTGAACCGCGAGCCAGCGCGGGCCGAACCGGACCGGCCCGTTTGACACAATAAATTGAAATAATTAAAGTTGACAAGAATTGTAGAGAAAATATATTATTTTATTTTATTTTTAATATGAATAATATACATTTTGAATAAATAAAAGTTTCTACCTTACTTTTGCTTTCATTAAAAAAAAATTATATGTCACATAGAAAATAAACTCAGTCTAAATAAATATATTTTCCAATACAAGTGCAAGTAGACGGTGTCTTGTTGATGTGCCGACAAGAAAAAGAGATCCGGTCTCTTTTAAATTTATTTTAAACTTAAATAAAGACATATTCTCTTTGTATTGGAGTAAATTTTGTTAATTTTATTTAATTTTTTTCATCCGGTCTAAAACATAAGCAAAATTAGATTTAATGCACTGCAGATGGCTAACTCATATATAAAATAAGTTTTGAACTTTACACGAAAATATACATATAAAAATTCAAACATAGCTTAGGCATCCCGTCAAAAGAAAAAGGGGGTTCCCGCAATATTTTAGTACATTTCACACTTACCACTTAAAATAATACACGATTTATGAAATCGAGCACGACTAAAGACTCGTCCACACCACATCAACCATAACCATGGTTAACATAACCATGGTTACTTTCATCTCATCCCCATCGTCCTTCTGGTCGCGTGACCTTCACCTTTTCTGCTCTCAGATCTGTTCAATCGCGTCTGTCTAATTCCTCATGAAATAAGAAAATTATATATTTTCCTTGCCCTAATTGAATTTCATGATATCCCGATTCTACGTCTCCATCAATTTTTGTAATTTGGTGATTTTTTATAATGAATTTCGCCATGTTGATCTGATTTTTATATTTTCTATTTTCACCGTTTAATTTTGTTCTGTACTAATGGAGACCCAAAGAGTAGTGGATTACACCCATAGAAGCATGGATAAGCGACCTCGGAAACGACCTCGTTTAGCATGGGACATGCCTCCTGCTGTTCCTCCTCCAGCTCCACAGAAGGTCTGATTTTTAAGATTTTTGTAGTTTTTTTTTTTTTGGGTTGAATGTGTCTTATTGCAGCTCTTTTGTGTTGGATTTTGTATGATTTTGAGCATGCTTAGCTGATTAGTCTGGGTTTGATAAAAGTTTATTTTTTTTACCATGTTCAATTGGTTTTTGAGGGACATTTTGGTGTTTTATTTGCGTTTATTTTTTTTTTTCCAGTTTCTTATGGGTTTATTAAATCCGTATCCTGAATTACTGATCATGTTTTTCTGTTTCCTCTATTATTGCCTGGGCTAAGTTTGGAATCAATATCAATTTCCGGTAATTATTGGCTAATATTCTGATGATGTTGGTCAGGTATTTCCTAAGACATTGGCTTAGGGAATTTTTCCTATGCTATTCAGTCATGTGAATTGTGAAGTGCAATTGATATCCGGATTGCAGTGTTAGGGGCCATGGATTTTATTCGACTTCTATATTTTTTGTGGGGTGGATTGATTTGTGCCTTCTTTGTACTATATGTCCAGTCACTGGAACGCTCGAAATACCTCTGTGGTGTTACAATTCCTCCAAGCTTAATTGATGTTGCGAGAAAATTTCGGAGATGATATTTTCTGGAAAAAAAAAGGCTTTAGTTCTAATGCATGTACTCAATAATATTGTTTATTTAATTGTTTCCTTACAAAGGTTCAGCCTCAATTTTGTTTCTTGTGCAGATTCTTCCAACTATATATTGTGCTCAAGAGTTCGGGGCAGTTCCTAACTATGCATATTCTTCAATATATTACAAAGGGATTCCTCGTAATGGATCTCCCCCTTGGAGACCGGATGATAAGGATGGACATTATGTTTTTGCCATTGGGGAGAATTTAACTCCTCGTTGTAAGTATACCTCACTCAATTTTCATTTTTATTTTTAATTTACCGTTGCTTCTTTTACTTTGACATTTATTAGTGTCGTACTGGTGTTTATTATTCTTTGACTGTTTTGGTAAGTATTCGGTTTTCATTTGTATGCTATATAACTAGTGTATATAATCTCTTTATAAGAGGGTTCATCTTAATTAGCTGCTCAGTTTTTTAGGTTTGTTTGTTTGTCTGTTTATCATATTTTGCTTGAATTGTTTGAACCATGTAGTTCTACTCTTGTTCTGTTGGAGTAAGAGAAGTTCATTTTGATGACAGTTGATTTAGTTATAATAGTGGAATGTATTATTGACTTAATTGCATCCGAAATGGCTGCAACAAATTGGAATCATTGACATATCAGAACTTTTTTCCATTCCTTCTCACCTACAGGAAAAGAGAAAAAATAGGCTATTGTTACTTAAGTGAGAAATGTGCATCACTTTACTTGGATGGTTTACTTATCTTACTAATTTGTTAGCTGTCGCTTAGTAAATAATGTTAAGAGTAAGGTATTTTTGTATTGGAGTACCACGTTATTTAGTGTGCAATGATTTAATTGCTCATTGTTCGGCCAAACTCACTTGAAGTGGTTGTTGTACGATTTTCAGCGCTTGCCTTTTCTGCACTTTGTAATACTCTTTTGTGTATACGGAGTACTTTGATCTCATTTCTCGCATGTGGTGTTTTTGTTCTATTTCTTTGAAAGTCAAATTTTCTCTAATTCTTCTTTTCCCCCAATTTGCAGACAGGATACTGAGTAAAATGGGTGAAGGTTAGTCGTTTATTTTTTCCCAGTTTTTGTACCATCCACTGAATATTATGATGATGTAAAAGATGTGCAACGTCTGTCTCTTCATGTGGTTATGTGATAGTCTTTTGCTATTTACTGTTTGGTTCTTGTAGGAACTTTTGGACAAGTTCTGGAATGTCTGGACAATGAAAGGAAAGAGATTGTTGCAATTAAAGTTATTCGGTCCATACAAAAATACCGGGAAGCTGCCATGATTGAGATTGATGTCTTGCAGAAACTGGCTAGACATGACATATGTGGATCACGGTAAGATTTGTTTTTTCTGTCGTGCCTTACTTCACCCCCTTAGAAAATTGAAGTGATTTTAGCGTAAGTTGTTTCATTCCTTGCAGTTGTGTGCAAATACGGAATTGGTTTGACTATCGTAATCATATTTGTATTGTAAGTATTTAATGTGATTTATGGTTCACTTAAATTTCAATGGGTATGATGTTCATTCATGCCTCTGTATATTCTGTAAGTTAAAATACTTGCGGATGAATTGGATGCTCTTAACAGGTATTTGAGAAGCTTGGTCCAAGCTTATATGATTTTCTACGCAAAAACAGCTATCGTTCATTTCCCATTGATCTTGTTCGGGAGTTTGGCAGACAACTTTTGGAATCTGTAGCATGTGTGTGAACATATCTTTGATATACTATTACTCTCTCTCTATTGTTTGAAGTTATCTAAGATTCTAAACCCGTGTCATGTTATTGTACTGCTTTTACTTTTCTATCCTTCCCACCCCGGCAGTCCCATAATATTTAATGAATAACATCTGCTTATTGATTTTTTCTGTTGTTATCCTTACAGTTATGCACGATCTACGCCTGATTCACACCGACTTGAAACCAGAAAATATTCTTCTTGTGTCCTCAGAGTACATTAAAGTCCAAGATTATAAGGTGATCACATATGACATGTACCGGTTTGGTCATTTTACCTCAACATGATTCACTCTTGCATTGCATTAAGTTCCCCGTTTTATTCTTCAAGTTTTATATGAGTGCCTTAATTTGCATCTGCTAGAATTGATTCACCGTAGTTCAGGTCGACATGATTCTCTCTCTACCAGCTTAGATTTTATTTATTTTTTGCTTAAACCATGTTGAAATTAATGTCAATTCTTATTATAGTTCTTTTACCTGCATATAATATTTTCTACAAATTGTTGGCAACCATTTCTAGATAAGAGTTCTGGTGATGAAATATGTAACTAAAATATGAATAGCCTGCTTCCACTTGCTAATTTATTGATTTTTACAGATGTTATTGTTTATGATAATCCTTTGTCTTTGGTTTTGATTTCCAAATGGTTAACAAGACAAAATATTACCTCATTGTTTGTCAAATGAGTCGTAACATCTCAATTCTCATGCCTCCTAACTTATGTACTTCGTCGGAGGCTCGTGATGAAATTTCTCTTGAGATTCATTAAAAAACATTAGTTTTGTTTTCCTGAAACGGCCAACAAGCCCAACACCAGTATGGCCTTCTAACTTTTTAGCACAAACTTATAAATTTTGTTGCCTGATGTATTTTTATTGCACCTTCTGTTGTATTGAAGTTTCCATCGAGACCCACAAAAGATGTTTCCTTCTTCAAAAATCTACCAAAGTCGAGTGCTATAAAGCTTATTGATTTCGGCAGTACTACATTTGAACATCAAGATCATAGCTATGTGGTTTCTACACGCCACTATCGTGCGCCGGAGGTTATTTTGGGTAATGGCCATTCTTACTATTTTCTACTATTGCATTTAATATGCTGCTTTTCAGTCCGTGGATGGTCAATTCTTTTGCTATTTTTCTCCAAAAAAGGTCTGGGCTGGAACTATCCCTGTGATATGTGGAGTATAGGCTGCATACTTGTGGAATTGTGCTCTGTAAGCAACATATGTTTAACTTATTCACCATCTACTTTATTTTTCCACTTAAATATTTACTCCAACTGTATTTTCCTCTTCATTAATTGGTACATTTTCCATTCTTCCTTTCTTTGAGTAATAACTTATATCAACTTAGATATCATGTTTACTTCTAAAAAAGGATTCTGCTAAATTCAGATCCAGAACTTGGTAACTAGGCCATATTTTTTCTATTGGCCTTTTTCTATTGATTCTGATACATGTTTATTAACTTTCAATGTCGAGGATAAATATATAATATTTTCTGTTAAAAGCATTCAAGTGATCTCAGCTTATTATATATGTGAATCTGTGATAGGGAGAGGCACTTTTCCAGACCCATGAAAACTTGGAACATCTTGCAATGATGGAAAGGGTGTTAGGGCCATTGCCCCAACATATGATTATGCGTGCTGAGTATGATCCATCCTCTTGCTTCCCTTTTCTGTAAAAATAGAATAAAAGTCGTGAGATAGAAGCTTTATTTGTGATTTATTTGTTTCTTTTTGCAGCCGGCGTGCTGAGAAGTACTTCAAAAGGGGCTCAAGGTTGGATTGGCCTGAAGGTGCCTCTTCCCGAGAAAGCATGAGGGCTGTTTGGAAATTACCCCGGCTTCAGGTATTTTACTTCATTCTTAGTCATAAGGGCATGCTTGGATACATATATATCCGCTCAAAATAAGTTTTTTGGTTTCCAAGGCTAATTTTGAAAAAGGTGTTATGGTTAGTTAGTGGGATTTTAAGTTTATATTAAAATAATATTTAAAATAAAATAATTAAAGTTGATTTGAAGTAAAAGTAAGAGAGAAATGATGTGAAGTGATGGTCAATTAAAATTATGTGAATGGATGAACAGTGAAATAAAGTTGATGTGATGTGTAAGAATGATTTGTTGATATTATTTAATTATATTGACAATATTGAGGATAGTGACTTCGAATTAAAGTTGAGTTAGATTTTGAGTATGGATTGAATATGAAATGAAAAAATAAGTTGCCTGGTTAGTGCTTATGTACCTTGGAGTGGTTTTTCCCCCTTTTTCCTTTTTTTTTTTTAACAACTTCTGGGATTCAAATTTATTAGATTCTGTTAAATATAATCTGTTTAGGACATCCTAATTCATCCTTGGTTTCCTTTTGTGTGGCAGAACCTAATCATGCAGCACGTGGACCACTCGGCTGGTGATTTAATTGATCTCTTGCAAGGACTTTTGAGGTATGACCCTAGCGCGCGGCTTAAAGCAAGAGAAGCTTTGGGACACCCCTTTTTCACGAGGGATCTTAGAAGGTTTGGTTATCCACTGTGAGCGAAAAAGACAAAAAAGGAAAAGATCAAGATTTGCAAGGGATGACAAGTCTCTGGGAATAAAATCGAAAGGAAAAGAGAAAAAAATTCCAACTTACATTTATTCACGCATCACGGAAATGTAAAAATAGAGTCATATTCAAAACGATCCTGAATTTGTGTTGTAAAGTATGCCTGTGTTTTTTCCAGGTTTGTGTTTGTTTAGTGGTATCATTTACCTTTTTACTTGGTTTGTTGTGATTGCTTGTGTGACTGACCTTCAATTGAAAAAAAAAAATGTTTTATCTACACTATTATAATACTGTTATACACTACTTGGTTTTTGTGTGCCTTGGCCAGTGTTTTTCATTCAACAGCCAGTTTTTTTATCCCTCATTTGTCTTTTCTGAATGCGTGGGCTTATGCACTGAACATGGACATTGAGTGCAGTTCAATCCAATTCATAGTCTAAAAAATGAAGATATATTGAAGATAGTTTTTATTCATAAACAAACCCAAGTATTAAATCAGCCTTTGTTTTTCAAATAGAGTAATTATTCAAAGCTTATAGAAGCACGATGGCACATTCAATAAGTATTGAGTTGAAATCTCAAAAGATGTTGCTAGTGCTCAAGTTTGGTTAGATCGACCCTACCTTAAGTAGTGTCCTAAGGTTTTTTTAACCCTTAATCTACACACATGCACATACCCGTCTGAAAATCACATGCGTGTGAGATCAAAGGCTAAAAAGCTCATGGGACACTACCCTTAGAGACAAATATGAATTTGCCATTCAAGAGATTGAACATTTTCAACTCTAATTCGAAATATGAATTTGCCGTTCAAGAGATTGAACATTTTCAACTCTAATTTGAATATGTAGTTCGTAAGCTTCAACGCTCGGTGGCTTATTGGAACATGGTTAAAATTGCATAAATATCTCATAATTAGATACTTCATTAGCTCTTGATCTACACACTTACACACTTGTGGAGATCAAGAGCTAAAAAGCTCATGTGGACATATATTAATTTACTTTTCAAGAGATTGAACATTTCGAACTCTAATTCAAATGTAGTTCGTAAACTTCAATGCTCGACGACTTATTTGAACATGCTTAAATTACATAAGTAACTTCTAATTAGATATCTTTTCATTGTAATTTCAAATTGAATTCAAGCAAAATTCAAATCGAACATGCTTAAAATTCCATAAATACCCTCTAGTTAGATCCTTTTTAATTAGATACTTTTTCATTTCATTGTAGTTTCGAATCCAACTCGAGCAAAATTCGAATTGAACATCTACTTTTTCATTGCAATTTCGAATCAAACTCGAGCTAAATCCAAACCAATCGTGAGCGACCCCAAAGTACTTGCTTTTTTTTNGGAAAAAAAAAAAATGGAACTGAAATTTTCAAGTAAGAAAACAGCCACACCTCTGTACTCCATGTTGGGTGGGTCCCATCATCCATGAGTCGGCTGAGATTGCCGCTGCGCATCACAACAGCCGCCATTGCCGCCGCCGCCGCCGGAAAATGGAACACGCAGCTGAGGGACCTCTCCAAAAGCGGCCAATACAGCCACGCCCTGACCCTCTACCGCCAAATGCTGCGCTCGGGCGTCGCCCCAAACGCCTTCACCTTCCCTTTCACTCTCAAGTCCTCAGCCGCCCTGTCTCTCCCTATCACCGCCACTCAGCTCCACTGCCACGTCATCAAGTCCGGCTGCCTCCTGGAGCCCTTCGTGCAGACGGCTCTGATATCCATGTACTGCAAATTCTCTTCACCCGAGAGTGCCCTCAAAGCGTTCGACGAAATTCCTGACCCAACCGCAGTTTGCTACAACTCTTTGATTTCTGGTTTTGTCCGAGCGTCAAGATTTTCTGACGGGCTGCTTTTTTTCGGCCTTATGAGGTCCAAAAACGTGCCGTTTAATGCCGTCACGATTTTGGGATTGGTTCCCGGGTGCAGTACCCCAGTGCACCTGCCTCTGGGAATGTCCCTTCATTGCTTGGCTTTGAAATTCTGTTTTATCAATGATTTGGCAGTTGTAAATTGCTTATTATCGATGTACGTTTGGTGCGGGAGTTGTACTGAACTGGCGAGGAAGCTGTTCGACGAGATGCTGGTGAAGAATTTGATTTCTTGGAACGCAATGATATCTGGGTACTCGCAAAACGGGCTTTGTAAGGAGGTTTTGGATTTGTACGAAGATATGAAATTGTTCGGTTTGTGCCCCGACGAGGTGACACTTGTCGGTGTCCTGTCGTCTTGCGCTAATCTCGGCGCCCGAAAAATCGGTATTGAAGTGGAAAAAACAATAATAAATCGTGGGTTTGCATTTAATCCGTATTTGAATAATTCGTTGATTAGCATGTATGCTAGGTGTGGCGACTTGAGAAAGGCTAGAGCTATTTTCGATTCGCTCCCGGATAAAAATTTGGTATCTTGGACAGCAATCATAGGAGGCTATGGCATGCACGGCCATGGAATTATCGCTGTCGAGCTTTTCGATCGTATGATTTTAGCAAATGTTTGGCCAGATAAAGCTGTTTTCGTTTGTGTTTTAACCGCATGTAGCCATGCGGGACTTACGGAAAAAGGGTTGGATTATTTTTACTCGATGGAGAAAATTTACAATTTGGTCCCTGGCCCGGAACACTATTCTTGCGTTGTGGACCTTTTGGGCCGGGCGGGTCGACTGGCCGAGGCTAAAAACGTAATCATGTCGATGCCAATGAAGCCTGATGGGTCCATATGGGGAGCTTTATTGGGTGCTTGCAAAATCCATAAAAATGTGAGCTTGGCTGAGCTGGCTTTCGATAGAGTGATTGAGCTTGACCCCATGAATATAGGTTATTATGTTCTGTTATCGAATATTTATAGCGAGACTGGTGATAAAGAAGGCGTGATGAGGGTTCGGGTGATGATGAGAGAACGTGGATTAAAAAAAGATCCCGGCTATAGCTATGTCGAGCGTAAAGGGAAAATACATCTCTTTGTGGCCGGGGATAAAAGTCACTCTCAAACGAACGAGATTTGTAAAATGTTGGGGGAGTTGGAGGATTTAGTGTATGGAAAAGAGAATGATGAGAAGAAGCAAAGGGATTGTCGATCTATGCATCATAGTGAGAGATTGGCAGTTGCATTTGCGCTCTTGGATTCGGGTTCGGAAGAGGAGGATATTCTCGTTATTAAGAATCTGAGGATATGTGAAAACTGTCACGTGTTTATAAAATCGGTCAGCAGATTTGTGGAAAATCGTCGGTTTGTGGTTCGGGATGCGACCCGTTTTCACCATTTTAAGGGTGGGTCTTGTTCTTGTAATGACTACTGGTGAGACTTTGTTTAGAAGGGAAAAAAAATGGTTCCAACCCTTTAGAAACGGTAAAAAACCTTGTGATCTGTGTGCAGTTACAGGATTTTTTGCCGTTAGATTGTCAAATACATATACGTACATATCCAACGGTAAAAAACCTGGTGATGTGTGCAGTTATAGAGTTTTTTGCCGTTAAATCAACAAATATACATGCATATCCAACGGTTAAAAAATGGGTTTGAAATGTATGTACCCTACTAGAGAATGGTATTTGGTGCTAGAGACCAAGATGAGTAATCAATCGCATGTAATTAATCATGTGATTGATTGTTTGAGAAGGCATGGCATATTCCATAAGACAAGGTCCTTTATACCTTTACCTCTCATCATTTTTAACTTTTTGTATGTTGGGCCCATTTGATTCTTACTGATTTGACAGGCTTACCCGTTTGGGCTCCTTTCCTTTCGGCTATGTGTTATGGGCCTCCACTCCAATGTTCTTTGCTTAACTTTAACATATCAATAACTATTATATAAAAAAAATCACTCCATCCACATAAAGATTCATTTTATTCATATATTTATGATCNAAAAAATAGTAAGTACACTAAATTTCACTTTTTATGAATAGTTGATCTGTAATTTTTTCACTAATTTTTAAAATAAACCGATTTTTTGGTATATAACTCGTTTTATTGGACATTCTTCATTCTTGTGAAAAGTAAAGAGCATTTAACAATATTGAAACAAATATTTATTTAATGGAAAATGAAATCGAAAAATTGGACTTGTTGCACATAAACTAATAACTAACAATACCGTGCTCAAAAAAATGAGAAAATTAATAATCTATATATTATCCAATATTAGTCTCCTTCTCAATAATTGGATATTTACATATCACTTTCTTAATGATCATTTTTCTCTTCTGTGCTTTAAGGGGTGATTGGATATGAATTCAACTAGTAAAAAATTGGTTATTTTTTAACTATAGTTAAGTTTAAAAAAAGTAGTATGGTTAGTTGTTAGTGGATATATTAAACTAATATTTAAATTAGAATAATTAAAGTTGATTTGATGGAAAAGTAGGAGAAAATGATTAGAAGTGATGGTTAGTTAAAATTGTGTGAGTGGATGAATAGTGAATTAAAATTGATGTGATGTGTAATAATGATTGGTTGATATTATTTAATTATATTAATAATATTGGAGATAGTGGAGTTGAGTTAAAGTAGAGTTAAATTTGAGTTTTGATTGAGATATTTACGGTACAATTCATATACAATCACTACTGTTTTTACTATCCTTTTTCTTCCTTTTATATTTTAATGATTCACTTTAAAATTTCTTATACTATATATTTGTTCATATATTTTGAAATAATAAAAAATACACCTCAAACAACATTTATTTTTTAATGGATATAAATTTAAAATAACTCTATTTTATCTTCCTACTCGGCCTTTAGTGATGTGAAGCTGATTTTAAAGTGGGGAATCCAATGGGCAGGCCCATATACGGTTCATTCGACGCTACCTTAATTTCATTTTATTTTTGTTCTCAATAGCTGTATATGTAATTGGCTATAATAGCACTTCCAAAATAATTCAAGCACTAAGAGCCTCAAATTGTATCTTTGGGCCAAGAGAATATTACCATTTTTACATATGTGACAAATGTGATTTCAGACAATCTTTGAAGAGTGTGAGCAAATTCACTGTTAAATTTTAATCGTTGGATTGTGATTTGTGAATGTGAATCCAACCGTTAAAATCTCGAGGGGGAAATCATTTGTTATTCACAGAGGGCCATGTTAATTTTGGGGCAGCAAAAAGGTAAATACAGTACAGTAATATCATACGTTGAAAGATTGTACGGACACATGCATGTGATGCATAGAGGACGTGAACTTAATGACAGTAATATATAGAAACTCATTAAATTTGGAGTTTATAACCCAATTTATAGACATGGCATCATTTTTTTTCCAAATTTAGTTTAGTTGAGTTTTGAATTTTATTCGGCATTTTATTGGCTGATTTATGAAAGATTCGATTTATTATTCAGTTATTAGACGGGAAATAGGGTTCCTATATATGAACTTGTTATTAGATGTGTGTAACTAGTTAGTTTAGCTCTAAATTATATTGTGATTTAACTTCTCACTCCCTTAATTTGTTTTATATACATTCTCATATGTGTTGTAAGAATTTTTGCTTAGGCTTCCTAGGTCAAAAACAAAAAAAATAGCCAAAGTTGAAGTATCGTTTAAGAAATACGTCGTTGTAATATCACTTATGACTTATTCTACATTGATTAAATTAGAAAATCGACCTAGTTTATTCCACTATTTATTTTTGAATGAAACCTCACGTAGGTGAAAACTAGATTTGCCCTCTAAAATTACCCGAATATATAAATCTAACATGATATAATAGCAAACTAGATGATTATCTAGAACTTATGATTGACTTGATTAACCGAATCTGATTACCTCGAATATATAATTTAACATGATATCAGATCAAATTTGATTATCTAGAACTTATGAATGACTTGATTAACCCTGATATAAGTCGGGTAAAGATGTGAAGTTGATAATTGACCTATTTTCACTCAAACATTTTTTCCAAGGTTAATTCAACTTTTCCCACAAAACCGATGGACAATAGCATACCTTAATAAACGGTTTATGCGGCGTTTTTTTACCGTAATTATGGGGGCTTAAGCTTATGTGCCCATTAAAAAGATATTAGTACTTTAATTAGGAAGTTTTACTTGCCTTTTCACTATTATGGCAGTCAAATCACATTTCTTCAGATTAACAGATAAACTTATTATGCTTTTGATTAGACACTGGGGCTGCTTTTAAGTTTTCCAAGACTCCCCCGGCCCTCACCCCCCTATTTTGATGATAATGAAGTAATGAATAATTAACTGAGGCTATGATTGGTAAATTTAACTAATAAGTTTAACTAATTATGATAATAAAGTAATGCATAATTAATTAAAATTATGATAAATTTAGTTTATACGATAAAAGTGTTTGATAATTTATGGCTGAAAATTTAGCTTATACGATAAAATTGTTTGGTAAAATTATTTGATAAGTTAGCTGAAATAAATATTTCAATTGACTGATTTGAAAAATCACTCAAGGAAGCTTGAAATTTCCACGGTCTATATTCAACACCACTATTCTTGAACAAATTAGAGCCGGATCTTCTTTTCACACTATTACGGATATGAAAATAATGGTCAAAATCGGATTCAATTCGAACTTTTTAAAAAAAACTAGTTCTATCAAACCAAGTTTATTTGAAGACATGAAGTTTATATACTAATCAAATAAGTTATAAGATAGCTTATAGTGACCAAACACAACCTAATAATTTTCTCGTAAATCGACCTCCATTTCATGAACGCAAAACGTTATCGATAACTATTATGTTAGACTGTCTAATAGTTAGTCAGTCATACTATTTTAATATATATATATATATATATATATATATATATATATATTAAAGTTTTAAAAAAATTTCTAAAATACGAAACCCCATGCATCGCACGAGATTCTCGTAGGAGAAAGAGAGCATCTGTAATTTATAAAAGATACGCAAATTCAATCAAGTTTGTCCATATATAACATATTGATGGTGAAAGGCGGAAAAGAACAAAAAAGCCCACATAATTAATCAATGATGCTAACATTTGTCCAACGATCAGTTTCTGTTCTTTAATCAACCTAGCTAGCTTCATAATCTAATGATACTCGTTTCCTCTCTTTATTCTTGTATTATCATAATTTATTCAATTTTTGCTATGAAGCCATTAGATAATGCAATTTATTGTCATCCACGATTATCCACATATATAAATAAAATATTTACCCATTGTAATGACTTTATGAAATCATTAGATGATATGACTTCCGAATAGGGCTGTTAACCAAACCGAACTTAAGTTTTCGAGCTCGAGTTCGATCAATTTTCGAACATGTTCGTGTTCGTTCGTTTAGTATTCAAACAAAAAATTTCGTTCGTGTTCGTCGTTTATTGGTTCAACAAGTTCATGTTCGAATTGTTCGACAAGTTCGTGTTCGTGTTTGTTGATTTTCTTTTATTTTAATACCATACAAGTTATTTTATTTAATATTTAAGATATATCTATATTTGTATATTGTATTATATATGTATTCTATCTATATAATATAAAATTACAGATTATTTTTTTGTTCGCAACGCTCATTTAGTAGCGAATGTATTCTTGTTCGTTCGATAACTAAACAAGCATAATTTAATGTTCGAGTTCGGTTCGACTACTAAACGAACGAGTTGTTATCGAACACGATAAATACGAACGAGCTTTGTTCCCGAACAATTCGGTTCGATAACAGACCTACTTACGAACTCATTAACCATTGCACATATGGTATATTGAGTACACATGTACTCAAAGTACAAATTATTACAATTGAGGACAATTGTCAACAATCAAAATTCCTAGATGAGTCGTCCAATTTCTCCATAATTTTTTTAGACATATATATATTTTTTCAGAAAAAATTTATGAGTGGTCCTGTATTGCATATCAATAATATTTTTTTATAAAAGAAATCGATTGATTAATAGTAATTTTAAAATTTTATAATTCATCAATTTGATAACGACAATTTTGGCTGGAAAGTTTTCTAACTATTCCATTAAGCTTGTAGCCAAAATGGACAATAGTTGAATACTAGTTGGAAATTGACGTGTCCTATTGAAATTTTGATCAAAATTCGGATTTCAAGCTATCATTCAATTATTCAAGTTTCTCAAGCATTTGAATAACTTCGTGGATTGAGTTGAGCTGAGTTGAACATTAAAAGGTTTTACTAGTCGAGCTTGTACATAGTAAAAAAAAGTTAACGATAGATCATGACATAGTATCACTGCTCGACTTGACTCAGCTATCTCCATCATAATTAAAGTATTAAACAACTAAGATAACGATAGATCATGACATAATATCACTAAAATTTCCTGAATAAATTAGCAATAGGGTAATGAATAATGATATATTGTACTTTATCTCGATTTGAATTGTAAAAGTTTGAGCTTAGTTTGTTTACTAACTTACACACAGTTAAATTTAAACATCTAATCGAATTTGTTTTATAAATAATTGAGTTTGTTCGCAAACAATTTTTTTAACGTTTACTTTTATTTTTTAAAATTTTAAATGAATCAAGCTAAACTTGTTCGCGAATAAATATTCTTTATTTATAAACAACTTTATTGGAGTTTGGACGAGTTTTCACAAACTTAAATGACCCAAGTTTTAACAGATACTTTTATTCATTCATTAAACAAGTCGACTGTCGAGCTAGTTCAAACTCGAGCTACTCGATTGTCGGCTTTGTTCGATTTGAATAACAACTTAACCACATTAAAATAAATTATTGCTACATCTTTTTTTTTGCCTTTTTTTTTTTCTTGTTTTTGCATGGGGAAACCTACAGTTGTTTTGCACTCTCTTTGCTACTTTATCTTTTACTACTATATTATTATTCTGTAAATGATTCTCGTGTACGTTTGACATTGTTAAGATACATGTAGAATTGGTGTGGATTATACCTCACGCGATCCTGCCCCCTTCACGGTTATTTTTCACTTTTTTTTTTAAAAAAAAAATTAATGTAATTACCTTATTTTGTCATTTATCCACCAAAATATTTGTATCCATTCACCAAAAATTTTATTTCATGCCTTCAGTTTAACAAATTAAATTAACTTTCTGCCTTGGGATTCGAAGAAAAAGTGGATGCTCAAACAAGAGGTTTTTGTTGTTTTGTCTATACACACCTCATAATTTATCATCACTTTGAGTTTGTTCTTGATTCTTGAGATGGGTATATGACTAACAAATTTGGGGACATTTTTTTTTTTTTTTTTTCTAAACATGTTTATTGGATATCATATATTTTTATATACAACATACAAGAAATTCTTAAATTTGATAATGTAAGAATAAGTTCTTATTAAAAATTATGATGGATCGATTCTAGAAGAATGAACGTCTCAACGCAGATCGAGTAACGACATAAATATACTATATTTTTCATATAATTCATCAATGACTTAAGCTACAAATCGGTATTGATGTATTATATTAATGACGAATGAGCTGCAATTATCACCTTAAAGGAAAAAAAAAGCGCGAAATATAGTATTCAAAACGAAAATGTAGGTTTGATGCATACTTCAATGTCGTATTTTTTATTTTTCAAAACTAAAGTAACTATAAACAATTTACAGAGACCATCGAATCTCCGATGACAAAACATTCTAAATCAGAACATCTATAGTCACGTTGCATTTCCTAATCGTAACTCAAATCGATATTCCATTGGAGATCTATTTGCGCCAATAAGGAAGATCGAGCTGATGTGAAATAGTTCGATATAGACAGTAATGAAATTGTATGTCACGTGACAAGTTGATATTTGCTATTCGAGCAGAGTCCAATCCCAAACTTCGAGGTAAGTTCCACTAAACAAACTGAGTTCACAATTGATCTAGACAAAATGAGTTTTTTGTTTATTTTTTTCAATAATAAATATGAGTCAATACCTAAAGCTTAACACACTTGATTAATTAAATTTAGAAATAATATTCTTATGAAAAATCTTATACTACAAATGAAATGAAGTGAGTTTTAATTAATTTCATTTGAATAATTTTAGTAGCTTTTGAGAGAGAATTTCAAGCTGTACCAAGGTCATGCATGCTTGAATATGGAGTGTTATTCATGATATTTGGTGAAGATATTAATGTCATTAAGTCATCTAATTCAATAGATCTCCTTAAAAAAGTGTGGGTTGTTATATGGGAATTAATTAGCTGTCATTTCTGTTTACTATTTTTGAATTGGCACTCATTTATTACACATATTTTGGTGAAAATTTATTCTAGTCACTGATTTGCCAAATTCTGGAGTGCTAGTTGTTTGTATTCTATCTAGACTCCAATAATAATCACATAATTACATCTTATATGAATCTATTACTATGATTTAAGCCCTGTAGAATTGACTTTCTTTGTTACCTATACTCACACAAATTATAAATAATTAAATACACAGATTAAAGAAATTGCAGTTGTCTTAGCCCACAAAAGCAAATACAGGTGAAAAATTAAGGAATAGCATATTAGAATATTGTTTTTTCATTGAAAAGTGTACTAATAATTAACCTCAGTTTTTCTCATATATTTCTCATCCATTTCTTTTTACCGTTTTTCTCTTATATTTCGCATAATTTTAGTATAAATTTTAATATTAATCATTATTACACATTTATCGTAATTATTCAGTGAAATAACAACCAATCACTATTTTATTATTTTCTCATCACATCATAATTAAAATATTATTAACATACTATTTTAATTGTAATCTTTTTCATTATTTTTGATTAATTTTCTAATAAAATCAGTAATATACTCTGTCTTTTGTCGAAAGTGTAAACGAGTCAGATTAAGCTCTTAAAAAACCTATTCGAGCTCAACTTATTTATCAATATTAATGAATCAACTCGATACTTAATGAGCCAAAACATATAAAATTATATAAAAGGTTTTATTATTATTAAGATTATTTAAAAAAAAATCGAGTTTTTAAAACTCAATTGATTTATTAAACTAGTTGAGCCGTGATGATATTATCCAAATTCCACCCTCCCTATTTATTTCAAACCCCAATTCAAAAAATACACACTTTCACACACACACATTAGAAAAACGCACACACAGTGCAAAAAACACACAAACACACAGTTCCGTCATAAATGTTCGCCGGCGCAGTTCCCTCCTCTCACCGGTCTTCCGTGCTTTCTCTCTCTAGAACGAGTCAGCGCGCATGAAGTGTATTATTTTCGCTCCTCTTTCTCTCTCTAGAAAGCGCCTTTCGCTGATAGCTGTTTTAGCAGTCCTTTCCATGCCGTATTTGCTAGAGTATGTGTGTGTATGTAAAGGCGCAGAGTATTTCTCTCTCTAGAATGTGTGAGCGGAATTTGAACATGAGCTGGATGTAAAAGCTTGTTTGACGATGGCGATGGTTTTCGAGGCTTTGTCGTGCCTTTTTCCGATAATCTCGATTTGATTTTCCCCAAATTCTTGTGTTTTTTTCGTTTTTCAAAAAAGTAAGAGAAAGTCTCTCTCTCTCTCTCTGTTAATTTCAATTATTTTTTATTTTGAAATTTCGACCCTTTTGCTCTTCCTATTTCGGTTGATTTGAATTTGGATAGAAGAAAATGGAGAGAGCTCGGCACCGGAAATCTAAAAGTGCTTCTGGCATTGAAGGTAAAAAGCTTTGATTTAATTATCTCCACTCTATAATTTTTGATCATTTGAGAACAAATTACTGAAGGTAAATGTTGTTTTGCAGTACATTAATGTGTCCGTGCTTTTGCTTTTTGTCCTATTTGATGTTTTAGTATGAAGAAAAGATATCGGTTCTGTTTTCCGGCTCCTCATTTCATTTTTCATCCTTAAAATTTATGATAATTTGTTAGGTTCGTTTACTATTATATTTTATAGTTCTTAGTGTAACTGATTTCCAGATTTTGGGTACTTATTTTGTCTTATCCACCGTGAAACATGGCTTTGTAGCTAAGCAATTTCCATGACTATAATTTTGTTTGCTTCTACACTTATATTACTAATTCGTTCCTTCCCCTTTGATGGCATTATTACTTGCAAATCTAAAGCGTGAAATATTTAATTGAGTTGATCACTAACATAGATCATGCTTTACAAAAGCAAGTATTGTGGCAAGTGGGCATGAAAAAATTTTCTATAGTGGTGTCATTATGATTTTGTTCCTCTTTTGGGTTTTCTATAATTGCTGGTCCTGGTTTCTTAATGAAAAAGCTCCAAAATTGAACCCCATAAACGCCTCATATTCTTGTTTAGCTGCCACACGATCCTTCGTTCCAGTACATACAAATATATGCAAAGAGTTGTAACTTTTGTTTTTATTGAGGAGTTCAATTTTGTTATAAGTTATACTTTCTCTTGCATAGAGATTGATTGTTTTAGTTTGAACTTTTTTAACCAGGAATTCTGCAGCATCAGAAAGCTGCTCCAAGATTGTCCGCGGACTCTCGAACTTACATAGATGGAAGCAAAAGGGATGACTTGGTCAGTCATTATCTACTTCTGTTTGTATTTTTGCAATGAATCCATGCTGAAATGGCTCTAAATTCATTCACATTTTTTTTTTAAATTATTTTGCTGCCACAGTTTATGCTCGAGTTAGGGCAGAGCTCATGGCCAAGGCCCACCGGAACTCCAATGAAGAAGCTCCTCGCAGAAGAAATGTCCCGTGAACTTGAGCCCAGGAGACGTCCGCCAAGTGTCGTTGCCAGATTAATGGGTCTCGATGGCCTGCCTTCCCCAAGGCACATCCACGGACAGCAGAAAAGGCTCTTGGAGACTTACCAAGCAAAAACGAGAAACCTACATTATGATGCCCGGACAAACAGAAGCCCACCGGAGTTCAAGGACGTGTATGAGGATTTGGAGGCCGCCAGCCGCCGCCGGTGTTCCTCAAGGTGGAGCGCGAGCTCGATCCTCACCAAGCCCGAGCTTGCCCTCATCAGGCAGAAGCTTCGGGTCTCGGACGAGATGGACCAAATTCCGAAACACCACTCGCATCACGATTCTCCCGTAAACCGCATAGCAGTTTTAAAGCCGTACGAAAGCAAAGGCAAGCATGCAAGCAGGCCCGCAATCAATTCGAGACGTGAGGACGGGCTTCTGCTCGAACGGCACCGCCACCCGACCCACATTTGCCGGAGTCCATCGAGGGCCCAATCAGAGAAGGGGGAAGAGGAAAAGGAAAAGGATCTCCCCACAAGAATTGTTGTCCTGAAGCCGAACCTCGGGAACATTCAAAACCCGACCCACATTTCCCAAAGAAGGAAAGACTCATCCAGGCCAGTATCTAAGGAGGCTCGGGAAATAGCGAGAGAGATCACGATGCGGATGAGGGACAGGTATGACGAGACTAATGACACATGGTCTGTTTGGGGTAGAGGGTATGCAGGGGACGAGAGCTCGTATGAGGCCAATGAAAGTGATTCCGAGAGTGAGTTTGAGGGGTTCCGGTTTTCCCGTGGAAAATCTTTTGGATACCCATCTTTTGCGCAGGTCGAGTCATCTGTGAGTAGGGAGGCCAAGAAAAGGCTGTCCGAGAGGTGGAAGATGACTCACAGTTATCGGGACATGGAGGTGGTTAATATCAAGGGCAGCACATTAGGGGAGATGCTAAAGCTGCCTGACCGAGAAGCGAAGCACAGCCGTTTAAATGCGAAGACAAGTCCTTCAGGTATTAGTAGTAGGGATGGGTGGACGGACGAGATCACCAGAAATACATGTAGGTCCAAATCCCTTCCTCCAGGTGGCGGAGGAAGAAGGATCCGTAAGACGAGATCATATCGTGAGGGTTTGGCTGAGGAAAAAGTTGTGATGAGCTGTGAGACTGTAAATTGTGGTAAAAGTGAGTTTGTGAAGAGAAATGTACGTAATGAGGAGGATTATCTGTCTAGATACTCCAAATCTCGGGGGAAGAAGCCACATCCACGCCAGGACATGTATATTGGTGAGATTGACACGTCAACAGAGGCAAATATTGAGATTCAAATGGAGGCAAATATTAAGGACATATCAGAACAGCAGATGGCTTTTGAAATGTCTGCTAAGGCAGACGCGTGTTGGAGTCCCGTGGTTGATGTGGTTATGATTTCTGAACCTGTGAGCACAACTTTGTCTCCGGAACCTTCTAATTTAGGCCAGAAGCAGCCGTCTTCGGTTATGGAGGGTGATGAATCTGCCTTTCAAGAACGAGGGAATTGTGGGGCCCAGGTATGAGTTTTGGTGGTTCTCTGTGGGGCCTTGCCTCTTATTTGTCATCCAGTCATTCTCCTTTACACTTTAATTTTTTTACGTGTCCAGTACTTTTCGTTGATAAATGGGTTTCATCTACTGCTCTTAACCATGAACTGTTATTTTATTTCTATATCTCCTGTTCTGCTGCTTCTGTTGACGTTCATTTATTCCGATTCTCAACATCCGTTCTATGTTCGTCTCAAACTTGAGTAATATTAATTCCTGTGTTTGGTAGTACTTGATTAGGCAGGGGAAGAATCTATTATTTCTTTTAAGCTAGGTATTATATTCTATCCTAACCTTTTTAGATGTAATAAACACACATGACCAATTGTATATGGCAACTTCCCACCAATAACTGAACACACCATTTGTGCTCTCCTATCTTTCCTACTTTCTCACATTTTCCATCAAATTTTCCCAATCACTTCCCGAAAAAATTTTAGCCACTTTTTACCAAACAGAGGCTACAAACTTTGATCACATATGATACTTCAAAATGATTTAGTATGATTCTATATTGGACCAGCTAGCTACAAGTTGTAAACGTTCATTACTTCTAGCTGTAAAATGATTTGGTTGCAATTATTTAAGTCCCTTAACGTTTGTGCACTGGATGAGTAAACCTACCATATACAGCAGCATGCGTAAACAGTAAACTAATGACTACAAGTGTAATTTCCTTTGATATATGTCCTTTTATGAAAATTATAATAACGACAAGTGTGCGTATCAGTTTAGGCTGCTTTTGTCGTGTTAGACGTGCATTGCCATTCTAATTAAATCACTGAATGCTGCTTTATTATGCAATTAGTACACACATACTCGTTTTTTCACGTTTTCAGGAACTGGACAAGGTAGCAACCAAACCTACCTCTCCTTCCTCAGCGTGCACGGGAGCTGAGCTGGAATCTTCTGAATGCTCCAAAGAGGCCGATCATCCAAGCCCAACTTCAGTCCTTGAAGCCCCTTTTATGGAAGACGCATCATCTGCTGAATGCTTTGAAAGAGTCGGTGCTGAACTTCAGGGTATGTAACCGTTATATGAAACAACTGGCTACTCGTGAACAGAGTTTTCTGTTGCTATATGGAGAGAGTAATTAAAAATTTGTAGCGCCAATTGGATCTTGAATACGCCCCTAAATGTTTTAATTAATTCCAGAAATTCACAAGCTGCTTTATCCATTTAGAACTACAAATACCTGCCATGTGATTACAAAAACCAGCTTGGATAAAAGATGTTTTCATTTGATTTTAAATATTATTGGTTTGGTATGATTATTTTTAAAAAAATTGGTATGGTTAGTTGTTAGTAGGATTTTGAGTTTATATTAGAATAATATTTAAAATAAAATAATTGAAGTTGATTTGATGTAAACGAAGGAGAAAGATTATGTGAAGTGATGGTTAGTTCAAATTATGTGAGTGGATGAATAATAAATTAAAGTTGATGTAATGTGTAAAAATGATTGAGTGGTATTATTTAATTATATTGATGATATAGTGGGGTTGAGTTAAAGTTGAGTTAGATTTGAGTTAAAAAAAAGTGATTGGTTAAAAATGATTGGATTTTTTAGAAAAAATTTTATCCAAGCATTATTAATTTTACGTGTAATATTGTCCCTTGTTTGCCTTCACCATAACCATCCTTCTGATTTTATTCAATTTTCTTCTTCTGTAGAACTCCGATTGCAACTGCAGCTCCTCAAGATGGAGTCGAGCACCGATGCTGGCGTGTCCACACATTTCGCTATCGAGGAAGAAGACGCTCAACCGTCCCACATTGCCCCCGAAGAAAATTACACAAAAAATCCCCAAGGCTGGGAAGCTCATTATACACTCGACGTGCTAATCGCCTCTGGGCTTCCTCAAGAGCTCGACTTTAGCATATTCAAAACATCATGGTACTCCTCAGACTGCCCTCTGGACCCGAAATTATTCGACACACTCGAGAAGAAATACAATGATGATGACGATGATGAGAAGAAATGGGAAAGGAAGTTACTTTTCGACAGGATAAGTTTTGCACTAAAGCAGATTTTCATGGAGCACGTGGACCCGTGCCCATGGGTCATGCCGAAATCGACGGGTTCGAATCTAGTGAAGTGGCGGGCCCACGGGATTATTGTGGACTCTGTTGATGATAAAGTGGTGGAGCAGTTGGAGCTGCCGGAAGTCCAGATGATGTCGGAAAAGACTGTGGATAGGGAGATGGGGTGGGTGGGCCCCAGGGGAGAAGTCGAGATGGTTGGTAACGAAATCGAGAGGTTGTTAATGGATGATATGGTGGCTGAGGTTCTTCTGTGTATGTAGCTAAATGAAAT